ATATATCCCAGCTCATGTGGACAAAGGAAAATAATTTAGAGGTGAGCTATGGATCCCCACATGGCTTCCCTGTGACTTCCTAAAGGAGGTATCTAGCTCCTTATGGGTCCATAGGAAACTGCTCCCAGCCTTCCATCTTTCGAAGCCCACCAGACACACAAGAGTTCCTATTCAAGTATCGAGGCCCTTGCTTTGACCCACAAGCTCCAAACTCATTTCATCAGAAGAAATGCCCTTTGGTTCTTACAGATTTCAATTTTTCCAGTTAATTAAAATTTGGCATCTGGCAGTGACTTTAGGGAATTCAGGAAAAGGACCCATCTGTCTCCTGGGCCACCAAACTCAGTTGGCCAATTTACTGATTGGCCTTCTGATAGATTATATCTGGAAATTACTCACTTCACTGATATTTTAGCAGAGTATTTAGAATCACAGAGACAGCTAAAGGAACAGATGCCCATGTGACTGGGTCTAGATCAGATGAGAGAAGTTTCTCAGATGCCCCTTGGAAGAATCCGAGTGTTTTTCCACTGTGGCTAGTTAGGAAGAATGGTCTGACCATGTAAGTCATTCAAACCTCCTCAGTCAGAGACAGTCTATTTTCCTGTCATCAAAGAGACTTCCAACCAAGAAAAAAAAAAGTCTACTATTTCTATAGTTGGGTTCTAGAAGTATTGATTTTCCTGAGCAGAGGAACTGTTAGACATGGAGCAGTCCTCAGCTGCCTGTATATTTGGAAATTATAGGATAAGATGAGTGGACCTAAAGTAGTTAATAATTTACAAATAGAGTAATAAGCTATGCCTTCTAGAGCTGATTGAATTTTAAGTTTAGACACAAATTATTTTGAGAAGCATGATTTTCCAATGGTGAAATTTCAGCCACAGATCATATGATTTTTTTTTTTCTTAAAATGACTCAAAAAATTCAACCTCCTTCTCCAGTTTTCTTTAAGATGGTATCTGGCAAAAACATAGACAAGATACCAATAAGTGACCGTCTGCAAAGTGCTCAAGCAGAGCTATCCCTGGAAAATTGGTAAATTAAGTACCATATTAAGAGGAAAGCCCTGGACTCCAATTTTGGACCTAGCATTCTTCTCTCTAAGCAGAGAAACTTCTTCCCTCTTTCCCCTTTTCTAAATTCCAAAATAGTCATTCACACTACAGTGTGAATTGAAGACACATATGTCCTCTTCAGAGGTGTGTGTTGCCATCGAGTCGATTATGACTCATAGCAACCCTATGGGACAGAATAGCACTGCCCCATAGGGTAAGTGAGCAGAATTTGGAGTTTTGTGTTTATCCTTCACTGCAAAGTTAAATAAGCCTTGTCCTCACTTTGTCACCAAAAGATTGGGACTTGAGGTGAGTAGGTCCTGGACTTTCACAATATGGGCTTCTGAAGTAGATGTGGTAGAATTGAAGCAATCATCTGCCCAAATTTAGGCAGCAAATGGAAAGTGCTTGGAAATTTTTCAGTTAAAATGAATGGACTTAATTTGCTAATTAGGAAGCCAGAGGAATTGTTTATTGCAACAGAATTTTACAAGCACAGAGATGAGGAAGGTACCTGAAAACTGACTTTTCCGTTTTATTGTTCGTCACTGCAGAGTCTGAATTAACTTGGGCCACCACCCTGGACTGAACATTTCCCATTATATAAAACTGAGAAGTAACCTGGATCTGGGATCTGAGAAGGGCTCGGAATGTGGGAAGATGCCTAAACTCTACATAGCAATAGTGAGGAAAGCCGGGAAGACCAAGGACTAATTCACAAGCTGTCCCAACAAGAATGGAACATGTTGATGTGAGACTTATGAGCAATACCAACATCAGAATCTCTCATTATCAGGTAAAAGCCGAAGGATTCACAACAGGTTCAGAGTTTAAGAGGGTAAGTAAGGATTAATATAAGAAGTTAATATTCCAGGCAAAAGGGCTCATGAAGGAGCAGAGTCTGAGTGCATAGTGATGCACTCAGGTTTCAAGTTTGGTACAAGGAAAAAGGCTAGCAAAGGGTATCAGGAGAGTCTTATTTGGAATTCAGGACAAATAAGTGTATTAGTAGAACAGTTCATCAGAGGTTTGAACTAGGCTTGCATATCAATCTATTTTAAGCACAGTGTCCTGCACAATGTAATCCATAAATATTTATTGATTATTGAATAAATGAATGAAGGTATGGATGGATTGATAGATGGATAGGTGGGATAGATGATGGAGTGGATAAATGATAGATCAAAGGAATAATTAATTAATGGACATAGAAATGAATGAGTGAATGGATAGATGAGTTAATGTTTTGGTTTTAAACAACTTTCTGATATGGACAAGTGAACTAGTAGGTGTGATCTGCTCCCTGTGGGTCAGAAATCTGTAGGTACCAGTTAGTTCAGTGCTAGATAAGTCTTTTGTCAACCATTTATAGCTACAAGATGTGTTCTTTCCTGTTTTGTTTTGTTTTTTCCTTTCCATTCTCCTTCCTGCTTGGTTTACTTTTGAAACAGGAATTTAAGCTGGGCTCTTTCCTAAAGGAGAGGCCCTACATAGTCTGTCTTATTTGCTTTAACCTTTCCATTCTTTCTACATTGAATAAATCTTGCTTAGGACCCATCATGTGCCTCTCACTGCAATGTGTGCTCAGAATATTCAAAGTAATGCAGAGCTTGATCCCTACCCTCAAGGAATATGCAGTTTAAATGGAAAAAAGAAAAGAAAAACACCTATTACTAAATGCCAAAGTAAGATAAGTATCCAACTGAAGGCATAAAACAGTTTACAGATTAAGTTGCTGAATTAAAACAACACTTTGGAGAAAAGCAGACATGTTTATGAAAGATGTAAAAAAAAAAAAAAAGAAAGAAAAGAAATCACAGATATTGTAGCTATGTAGACCTGGGATGAAGGTAAGGATTATCCACCCATTTATTCTGTCAACACCAGCAGATTACTCAAACATTTTTAGCTTCAGTTTCTTCATTGTAAAAACTGGGATAATGCAGTTCTCTCACTTTGCTTTGTGATAAATAAATAGGAGAAAATTAAATGTTTAACAATACTCAGAACATAATTAGGCCCCTGGTAGCACAAATGGTTTCCGCTCGACTAACTAGCCTAAAGATTGGTGGTTTGAACCCAACCTGTGGCAAAATGGAAGAAAGGCCTGGAGATCTGCTTCCATAAAGATTGCTGTTGTTAGCTGCTATTGAGTTGATTCCAACTCATGGCAACCACATGTGTGCAGAGTAGAACTGCTCCATAGGATTTTCAAGGCCGTCGGCTTTCAGAAGCAGGTTGTCTGGCCTGTCTTTCAAGGTGCCTCTGGGTGAATTTGAACTGCCAGCCTTTTGGCTTGTAGTCAAATGCCTAACCCCATAAAGACTTAAGCCAAGAAAACCCTATGGAGCACAGTTCTACCCTGACACACATGGGGTCACCACGAATCGGAATTAACTTGACGGCAACAGGTTTTAGAACATAATTGGCACTAAAGAAATGATAGCTGTCATTATATTTCACATTCTGTAAGATTCCATGTGTATGAATTTCTGGAATAAGCAAAACTAACATATGCCAATAAAAATCAGAAAAGTGGTTTTATCTGATGGGGAGATTGGCTGAAAAGAAACATGAAGGGATCCTTCTGGCATGATGAAAATGTCCTATATCTTTATCAGTAAGCTGATTACAATGGTATATACATTTTGAAAAAGTTTTGTGTCTTCTCGTATATAAATGTAGGTTGTTTATTATTATGTACCCATCTTGTTGCATGTATCAGTGGTTCATTCACTTACTGTTAAATTGTATTCCATTGTGTAAATATACCATCTTTTGTTTATCCATTGCTTATCCGTTCTCCTGTTGACGTTCATTTGAGTATTTCCAGTTTATAACAATTAGGAAAAAAGCTGCTAGGAACATTCTTCTACAAACATGTTTGTGAAGATCTGTATTTATTTTTCTTAGAGTGGAATTGCTGGACCTTAGGGTAGGTATATATCTAGCTTTGTAAGAAAACTACCCAGTTTTCCAAAGTGATTGTACCATCTTACACTTCCATAAGCAAAGTTCCAGTTGTTCCACTCTTTCTGCCAACATTTGGCAATTTTAGTCATCCTAGTGAGTGTTTACTGGTACTTCATTGTGTTTTATTTTGTATTTCTTTAATGACTGATGATGTTGAGCATGTTTTCATAAGCTTACTGGCCATCCAGATACCTTCCTTGTGAAGGCCCTTTCTAGTTTTTTCCCCATTTTTGTATTGTATTGTTTGTCATTTTTATTATTGATTCATAGGCATTTGTTACATATTCTCTATATGAGTACTTGGTCCAATGTTTTCTCCCAGAATCTGGTTTGCCTTTCTCTTTTTAAAATTTTTTTCATGAGAAACTCAGTTTTGTTTTAACTTTTAAAAATAAGTTTGGCAGTTTCTTCCTTTATCTCTACTCCCCAATACACAGAGAGAGAGAGAATAATTGCTTTGAAAATTATCCCTAAGATCAAATGCTCCAAATATATGAAAGAGAATTATAAAGAGAAAAAAGATAACACCAATGGTGTACTATTAAATAGTAATGAACCATTATAAAACATTGAACAGAAAGTGAAAGACAGACTGAAGAGAACAAGGATTAGAACAGCTTCTGCAGAAAGCAAGCACTTGACCATAATGTTACAGAACAAAAGCAGAGACCCAGTTCAAGGAGATGGAACATTATTCATGGGCCAGGTCTGAAAAATTATATGAATTTTTCTAGATCTGTTTGTAGTAGAAGAAAAAACAAATGGAAAGTGCACAAAGTGTTCAGAACTTGTGTGTTAGGAAATCAAGAGAAGGGAAAGGACTCTGCGAGAGCTATTAGAAAATAGTAGCAATGATAAGCAGTAGAAGACAAACGTACATAGAATGGGGTAGAAAATCTAGGTTGCCAGAGGAGCCAGTCAATGCTTCATTCATCTTTCTGCTTTCTTCCAAAGGACTGTCCTCTCTAAATGGCCTTGGGAAACCACAGTACCATCATTGATTTCCTCCTGCTTCGGCTGCCTGCTGACCATCACACGCAGGCCCTACTTTTTGTGCTTTTCCTGGTAATATACCTCCTGACCCTGTCAGGAAATCTGTCAATGATCATGGTTATCAGAGCCAATTCTCACCTCCATACCCCCATGTACTTCTTCTTGAGTCACCTCTCCTTCCTGGATCTCTGTTACTCTTCAGTCACTGTGCCCAAGATGCTGGAGAACCTACTGTCTGAGAAGAAAACCATCTCAGTGGAGAACTGCTTGACCCAGGCCTTCTTTGTGCTTGAGTTTGGGGGAACAGAGCTCTGCCTCCTTGCAGTGATGGCCTATGATCGCTATGCTGCTGTCTGCTACCCTCTGATATATGGTCAAATGATGAGCAACCAGGTCTGTGTGAGGCTGGTGTGGGCATCCTGGGTCTTGGCCTTTTTGGATGCTCTCATCAACACACTTCTGGCTTTGAATTTGGACTTCTGTGAGACTCAAGTCATCCCCAACTTTAGCTGTGAAATACCTTCTCTATTCCCTCTCTCCTGCTCCAGTAGCTCCGCTAACTTTGCAGTCCTGCTCTGCTCAGCCCTCCTGCATGCCTTTGGGACCTTCCTCCTGGTTCTCTTCTCTTATGCCCGCATTGTCTCCACCATCCTGAGCATCAGCTCCACCACAGGCCGAAGGAAGGCCTTCTCCACCTGCTCCTCCCATCTTACTGCAGTGAGTTTATTTTATGGCTCAGGTTTTCTTCGCTATCTTATGCCAACTTCAGGTTCCCCATGGGAGGTGATCTTTTCCTTGCAGTACAGTGTGTTCACTCCCCTAGTGAATCCCTTTGTCTATAGCCTAAAGAACAAGGAAGTAAAAGTAGCTCTGAAAAACAAGCTACAGAAAATGTAAAGCATCTCAGGTAGCAGAGAACAAGCAAGGATGAATGGGGGGAAACAAGGCAGAATTGCAGCAAGGTAGTTCAGTAATAGACATTAAGGAAAAGTTTTGGTGGCTCAGGATGTCAGATGTGACAAGATATGTTGTAAAGCCTCCTTTTTTCTGGAATAGCACAAGAAAACAGTAGCAAAGTATTTGTTTGTCTTGGTTCATATTTTATCTTCCTCAGAGGTAGAAAAATGCATCAGATGACTATATCAATTCAAGCAGTTTGGTTAGGGACATAGAAATCTGTTGGATCTCTATGAGTAGGAATCAACTCGACGGCAACGAGTTTGGTCTGGTTTGTTTGTGAAACACATAAAATGCTTAGCACTGAGAAAATTGTCTGTGTCCTGAATTTTTACATGGATTCATGTGGGCATGAAATTAAGGGTAACGCTTTGCTAGAAAGTAAAGAACCAAGATCTCTGAAGGAAGAAAGACATAGACTTGAGACTCGTGGAGGGGTGACAGGGACGTTGATTGACGATTAGCCCTGTGGTATTTTTCTCCAAACTCTGAGAACCTTGGTAAATTATCAAGCAGCCTTCAGAAAGAGGCTGTTTGAGGTCCCTCTTTTCCCTTTTTGTATATTTCTGACCTTACAGCGTCTCTGTTTCCACCAAGGCACTGTCCTCTGCAGATCCCTCCAGTCTCTTTTATTGATCCAGCAAATTCACCTAGATTTTTTTTTTTTTTTACTGAAGGAAATTTGGCTAAAAGTAATTTCACCTAATAATCACCTCCACTAGCAAACCATTCGCTAAAAATCTATAGTTGTCTAATTTAAAAATTTCATATGAAATAGACCTGTTTCAGCCCCTTCCAACATTTTATCTTATTTTAGATCTATTTCCTATTCTGGCTATTTCAAAAATTTTCAGCCCAACTCATCTTGCCATTTAATGGCATTTTAAAAGAAGTATTTTATCAAATATTCATTCTTAATATTTGCTTCATCTAAGTCACAGTTTATGAGGATTCATAACTTCTTTTAGATATTTGTTTCATATTTGCATATATTTTTGCAAGACATAGAATTATAAAGCAAGTCACCATCAATGTAGCTTTTCTCCATATTACTGACCACAAGATTGAAAATATTTTTTAGATACTGATAAGCTTTTTAAATTACTTTTCATTTTATGTTTGACTACTTTTACATCATAAAGTATTATTGATTAATGTAAAATACTAATATTGCTTTAAATATTTTTAAATTAGAAATATGAAAAGTATAGAAAAATGGTTCTGCTACCCAGTGAAAAACAGTAACATTTAGGAATATTTAACTGTAAATTTTTTTATTGGAAATGTCTTTAGTATGCATTTTCATACATAGTTGTGATTATAATTTATAAGCAATTTTGTTTCTATTTTTTACTTACTGTAAAATAAACATTTTCCACTTTCAAAAACATTTTTAATTTCTACTATATCTTATCAAGTATATACACCATAGTTTATTTAGCAATTCCCTGCTGTTGAACATTTCCAATGTTTCCCCATTTTCTTCAAGCATTTGTGTAGCAATTATTTCAAAGAACTTTCCCCTCCTCCCTCCCTCCCTACTACCATCCTTTTCTCCCTTCTTTCCTTCCCGTATTTTTAACCATTTCCTCTTTCAGACCTCAGAGGCATAGAATTATTCTTTTCTTTTAACATTTTATTGTGCTTTAGGTGAAAGTTTACATAACACATTAGTTTTCCAATCAATAATTCATACACAAATTGTTCTGTGATTGTAATCGCCTCAATGTGTCAGCACTCTCCCTATTTCCTCCATGGGTTACCTGTTTCCATTCATCTGGTTTCCCTGTCCCTCCTTGCCTTGTCATCTTTGGTTTTGGGCAAATGTCGTTTTGGTCTCCTACAGTTGATTGTTCTAAGGTGCACATTCTTCACAGTTGTTATTGTTTATTTTATAGTCTCATCTATTATTTGGCTGAAAAGTGGCCTCCAGGAGTGTCTTCAGTTTCAATCCAGAATGTTGTCTTGCAGCAATAGTTTTGGGAGTTTCTCTAGTCTCTTTCATGCCAGTAAGTCTGGTCTTTTTTTTTTTTTTTTAATTTGAATTTTGTTCTACATATTTTACCCGTTCTAACCAGGACCTTCTGTTGTGGACCTGGTCAGAGTGGTTGGTAGTGGTAGCCAGGCACCGTCTAGTTCTTCTGGTCTCAAGTTAAAGGAGACTACCCAGTGGTTCATGTGGGCCATTAGTCCTTTGGGCTGATTGCTACCTTGAGTCTTTGTTTTTCTTCATTCTCCTTTGCTCCAGGTGGGAAAAGATCAAGAGTTGCTTTTTAGATGGCCGCTTCCAAGCTTTTAAGACCCCAGATATTACTCCCCAGACTAGGAAGTAGAACATTATCTTTATGAACTGTGTTTTGCCGATTGACCTAGGTGTCCCCCGATACTATGGTCCTTGGCCTTCAAGTCCAGTAGTTCAGTCTGGATTTCTAAGTAGTTTCTATACTGTGCCCCCTATGTGCTCTATTACATGTATGAGTATACATGCAGCAATTACAAATATGTATGTAGAAATATCCATAGCCATAAGTGTATATATACACAGGTGTACTCCCATATGACCTCCTTCACCTATTTAGCATACATATGCAATGGTTAAGATTGTGTGTCAGCTTGGCTGGGCCATGATTCTCAGTGTTTATATGTGATCACCCCCATGATGGAATCTGCTGTAAGTACCCAATCAGCTGAAAGAGAGTTTCTTTGGGTGTGTAGCCTGCATCTGAATATAAGTGGGCGTTCTGGCTTTTGCCCTCTCTGGATCCTGCAGCTGCCTCTTGTTCATCTGACCTCCAGTTCATGGGACTTGAGCTAGCAGCTTCCTTGCCAATCTTGGGATTCATCAGTCTTCACAGCCTGTGAGCAAGAGACCTGCTTTCCAACCTGCCGATCTCGGATTCACCAGCCCCTGTTGGTACTTGAATCAGGAGAAGCCTTGTGATCTTGCCTGCCGATCTTGGGATTCATAGGCCTTCACAGCCTGTGAGCAAGAGCCCGGCTCTCTGACCTGCCAATTTTGGGTTCGCAAGCACCCGTGGCTACATGAATCAGGGGAAGCCTCTATCCTGATCCATGGACTTGGGACATTTCAGCCTCCAAAATCACATGAGCTGTTTCCTTGGTATAAATCTATATATGTATATATATATTTATGCGCTTTACTGGCTTTTCTTCTCTAGAGAACCCAGCCTAAGACACATATTTACCTATGTATCTACACACAAATTATTGCTTATTATTGCTGTTGTTGCAGGATTGTATATGTTATAGTATTTACCCTAGCTGTCCTTTATCATTGCATACCTCTGAGTGTCTTGTTTTGTCTTGGTCACATTGTGTTGACTTCCCCCATATTGTGTATTGCCTATCCATTCACCAGAATTACTACTTATCTACTATTTAGTTAGTGATTTTCCTTCCCTCTTCCTCTCATCCCTGGTCACCATCAAAGAATGTTTCTTTCTGTATGTAAACCTATTTTTGACTTTACAATAGTAGTCTCATACAATATTTGTCTTTTTGTGTTTGACTTATTTCATTCAGCATAATGTCCTCCAGATTCATCCATGTTGTGAGATGATCCGTGGACTCATCATTATTCTTTCTTGTTGCATAGTGTTCCATTGTATGTATGTACCACAGTTTATTTATCCATTCATTCACTGATAAGCACTTAGGTTGTTTCCAACTTTTTGCTATTGTCAATAATGCTGCAATGAATATAGTTGTGCATAAGTCTATTTATGTTACAGATCTCATTTCTCTAGGACATATACCTAGGAGTGGAATTGTTGGATTATATGGTATTTCTATTTCTAGCTTTTTATGGAAATGCCACCGACTTTTCCATAGTGTTTTTACCATTTTGCAGTCCCACCTGCAGTGTATAAGAGTTTCAATCTCCCCACAGCATTGCCAGTATGTGTTATTCCTTGTTACTTTGATCAGTGCCATTATTGTCAGGGTGAGATGGTATCTCATTGTAGTTTTGATTTGCATCTCTCTAACGACTAATGAACGTGAGCATCTTTTCTTGTGTATGTTATCCGCCTGAATGTCTTCTTTGGTGACGTGTCTGTTCATGTCTTTTGCCCATTTTTTAATTGGATTAATTTTCTTTTTGTCATTCAGGCAACGAAGTTTTCTATAAAATTTGGAGATTAGACCCTTGTTGGATATGCCATAGCCAAAAATTTTTCCCCAGCCTGTAGGTTCTCTTTTTTCTCTTTTGGTGAAGTCTTTGGATGAGCCTAAGTGATTTATTTTTAGGAAATCCCAGTTATCTAGTTTATCTTTTGCTGTTTGTGCATTTTTAGTTATGCTTGTGTTCTATTTATGCCATGTATTAAGGCCTCTTGCATTGTTCCTGCTTTTTCTTCCACAATCTCTATAGTTTTAGGTTTTACATTTATATCTTTGATCCATTTTTAGTTAGTTTTTGCATATGGTGTGAGGTATGGATTGTTTCATTTTTCTGCAAATTGAAATCCAGATTTGACAGGACCATTTGTTAAACAGATTTTCTCTTCCCCATTTAATGGACTTTGACTCTTTGTCAAAGATCAGCTGTCCATAGGTGGATGGATTTACTTCTGGGTTCTGAATTCAGTTTCATTGCTTTTACTTCTTCCTTACCAACTTGGATGTCCTTTCTTTTCCTTTCTTGTCTTATTGCTCTTGCTAGGACTTCCAGCACAATGTCAAATAGGAGTGGTGATAAACGGCATCCTTGTTTTGTTCCTGTTCTCAGGGGGAATGTTTTCAGCCTCTCTCCATAGAGAATGATGTTGGCTGTTGGTTTTGTATATATGCTCTTAATTATGTTGAGGAATTTCCCTTCTATTCCTATTTTGCTGAGAGTTTTTATCAGAAATGGGCGTTGGACTTTATCAAATGCCTTTTCTGCACTGATTGAGATCATCATGTGATTCTTGTCCTTTGTTTTTATGTGGTAGATTATGTTGATTGATGTTCTAATATTGAACCATCTTTCCATACCTGGTATGAAGCCCACTTGGTTGTGATGTTTGTTTGTTTGTTTTGTTGCTGTTGTTGTTGTTTTGATATGCTGTTGAATTCTAGTGGCTAAAATTTTGTTGAGAATTTTC